CCCTGTGGTAATCAGCTTGAAGAGGTTGAGAGCTTTAAGTACCTCGGGAGCTTGATCGCAGCTGGTGTTGGTGAATAGCGAAAACTAGAGCAGCTTTCGACAACCTGCGACACCTGTGGCACCGCTATGACATACGACTGTCCCGTAAGGAAAGGGTGTGCATTGCCGTGGTTCGTATCGTTCTACTTTACGGTTGCGACACCTGACCCCTCCGAGCGGGAGATATTAATCGACTTTCTGTATTCGACCACCGATTTCTCCGAAGCGCTGCTCGTGTCTGGTAGGAACACCGAGTGAGCAATGACAAGGTGTGTCGTGTGTTGGATGTTGCTTGATCACGTATTGCGAATGCCTGCCCGTCGACTAACTTTCCGTGCTCTCTTTATACGTACCGGGCAAGGCTGGAAGAAGCGCAGCGGCGGTCAGACCATAACATGGCGTAGAGGTATGAAGAAGCTGGCTTTGGTTGGTGCAGCCTACCTTTCAGGCTGGGGTCCAAAGGATGAGGTTTGTCAGTTAGAGACGCTGAAAGATACGGCACAGTTATCTACAATTTTCCATTTTTACAGTTTTGCCTTCCTTTTACTCTGTTCGTTATCCCAATCCACCCATCCCCTGTTATTGTTGCTATTGTATTATATAAAATATATCTGCATATCTTATCAAAAATTGACAGAAATCAATTAGGATGCAGTTCTTCAAGTGACTAGGCTGTATATATCAAGTTTTTAGAGCATTATTTCTATAATCTCGAATCGTCTTGATATGTGTTGGTGTTCAGCCTGGATTGCAATCAGGGATTCTGGTTCACACAATGGAACGAAATTGCAGGCGACTATAAGCTAGCAGATCTGTGCTGCCGGGCGCGTCTCCGGTTGAAGATTTTTCATTGCAGATCAGCGAATACAGTAGAAGAGTTAGACCCTGTAATTCCAGAATATACATTGTGCATGAGATAGTTAAGGGAACCTTGTTGATCGTGCGTTTAACGGTAAGGGTATTGTGGGTAGGAGGGAAGATGTAAAGGAGAAGTGTTTCATAGTTTGGTTGCTCTTTAAAAAAACCGGACTGGGCTTTAGGAGTATGACGCCGATGGATAGTCACTTGGAACAGATGGCTGCCTACTTGCGCATGGGATCTACGAGGAAGAACAAATGAACGATGGAAGGAAACGGGAAGTTCAGCTGAACAAAAACCAAAGTAATACCTCTGCAATGGGGAAAGAAAGCGACTGTTTGGTGGTGATTGCAAATTGTATGTTAGTGATAGTTCGTTGATAAGACGAATGATCCTGTGTTTAAGCTGATCAAGAAGACATCATCATCGTACAGCGAAATACAAACAAGCGAACTTCACTGATCGCTGCCAAACTCGCAATGCATATGCATTGGGGTTTGATGGACGGGTGCTGCTAGGGTGTCCAGCCACTAAGGTTTCTTAGCCGCAAGACAGCGGGTGAAGCGAAGTGGAGGCCCATTTACCTGGACCAATTACTCATCCACCATTATTTTATCGACTGAAACGCACATTCTAGTCGAACCCCCAACCTGGAGGATCAGGTGACTGGACTTCATCTGACTTCTACCCATTGACCTTCCAGGCATGATTAGATCTGCGGCTTGACAAAAGCCATCACACCACGTCAGGGTGCAACCTCGTTGTGATGGGTTCCAGAAGACGTAGAGAGGTAAATAAAGTTCCATGACACATGAATATAATATTCAGCAGAGAAGAGAATCTGGGTTTTGTAAAGAGGGAAGTGAGTAATAGAGAAAAGCGTTTTATAGTAAAAAGCCGAACGTGCACGAAGCGCGAGGCAAATAAATAAATATAATTAGACCATTAAAAAAGATAGAAACAGTTCCAACAAGTTGCATAAATCTGTGGAACGAGAAGCGTATGATTATGATGAAGATTTACATCTAAGAGAAATAATTGTAGGGGGTACCTGCAACAAAGAGAGCGGGATTGAAATAGCCCAAGCGGAAATAACATCAGAATCAAAGGGGATTTCGAGGGAGGAGCGATGGCTCTGAATGCTGCAGTTAAAGCAGCGAGAAGAAGATTATGATGAAGAGTGTAGAATGGCACCATTGGAACAGGTGTGAATGAGATTTAAAGTTGAGGAAGGATGATCGAAAAAATTATGAAAAAATTGGGGAAGTAAAGGACCTTGGGGGCATCAACGTTCATAGTTACGCAGTGATACATGATCTTGTTGAATCGCAAGGAAATGATGAGGTACTTGAGAAACATTTCTGTTTAGGCTACAAGTTCCGAGGGAAAAACAAACGTCAGTAGCTAAGTCATCAAACCTGAATGCCAGACGCGATCGAAAGCCTTCGATATGTCCAGCGACACAATATGCGTTTCTTCGTGATTGCCGAGTGCTGTTGACAATGC